TCTTCAGATCGTATAAATCTTTCACCTTTTATAGGATTGGTTTTTCAGGCCTGGCTGCAATGACTTATTGCTGTTGGGGGAAGACGAATTTTCAAAATTCAATGGAGGAAAGCTTGCTGATGTGCCAGACCTTGCAGTTAAGGCACTGCTGGAATATCAAGCTATCCTGGGCAATTAATCAATTGACTCCTAAAGATATTATGTCAACTCACTGGTCATAGGTCTCCTGAAGAACTGCAGGGAATGAGGAGTGGACATTTTTGATTTTATAATGGTGGCATAAAACCAAAAGGAGAAATGAACACCACGAAACACATAGAGCAACCTATGCCATGGCAGTGAAGGAACAGAAAAATATTCCCCCCTCTTCCCCTGTTTTTTAACAGAAAATCATCCAAGCAGGTTTTTCCAGGTAGTTCAAAGACTGACATAGTCTTTTAAGAGCCTTTGAACTGTTGAAAATGTCACTAAGGTACTGAATGAGTTATGGCCATGACCTGCATTTTAAATTCCATTTGCCAGGTACCGGCTGAGAACAATCATGTTAAGGAGACACTGTTTGATATTCATGCCTTCCTTCCAAAGGTAGTGCCACCTGCCTTGAAGATATCCCCATGTGGAAATAGTCATCACCCATTCTCAATACATGTACAATTCTACATAGCAGTTAAAGGTTTGTGATATATAATTCAAAAATGCATTCACATATTTAAACCACAATGATATTTGCAACACTATATTAATAAAAATAAGGATGCTGAACTAAAATAAGGGCAACAAGGTCATATCATTTGAGTTAGTGTTCTCCTCACCCATTTTACACTTCTAACTTAATGAGATGTCTGGTGACATTTAAAAAAAGACTGTGCATGTGGGAAAATCAAAGCATCATCTGTAATCTACATGTCAGGCTTGACGGATGCATATTTTTACATTAACCTTTAACAGGGAAATTGGACAATAGCTTACACAGTCAACAGGATCTTCAGCAGCCTTCAAAGTCATAGTTATATAAACCTCAGTGAAGGAGGGTGAAAATATCTTATTTCAAAAGACTTCATTGTGGAGCTCCAACATTATTAGGGCGAAGAACTCAATACATGTCTTCTGCTTTTTCATGAGATAAGCATTTTGGTTTTTTTTCTATACCGTATAGTTTTGGTAAACTTGTAGAGATTAAATCTTGTAGAATTAAGGTACAACCAAATAGTTGAATGATTTATGATTTTATAGAACATTTGCATTTTACTGTATTTAAATGAATCTTCTATTGCAATCTTTTATTATTTTTTAAGTATTTTAAAATTGTTTTAATTGTCAGTTGTATGCCATCCAGAATCACATTTAGTGAAATGAGTGGCTATATAAATTTTAAATATGTGCGCATGTGTGTTTGTGTGTGTATTCACACACACACACACATATAATTGAAGCGGCTAGATAACATGGGGGATAGAGTGTCATCTTTTGATGCTGGAGACAAATCTTGACTGGTATCTATCTTAGCCATTAGTGTCCTATCTTATCCATTGGTGAGCAAAGACCTCCTAATACTTCACCTGCCTAGCTCAAGATATGAAAGTGACAAGAATTAACAATGTCATGTCATCTTGGAGGTTATCCTGATAAACAAAGCCCATGCCATACTTTGGAAAACCAGAACAATCTGATGATATGTGGGCTACTGAACACACCAAACATGGACAAGCAAGAGAACCTGGAATTGATGGAATGCTACCATAACAGGGGATCTAGTGGGATGGGATATATGAAACTAATGATATGGGTGGACAGAAGATTGATATCCATAATAACCGAGGAATAGCTTGTTACCTAATTCTTCAACATAGTGAAGAGGAAGCTGCAATTACAATTTAAGATAAAGCAAGTACATATTACAACATGGACTCAAGAAGACCCAGAAGAACAATGGAATGTGTAGCTAATAATTGAAGCTGGAACATCACTGCCACCCACTCTATTACAGAGTAAATCAGCTGATATGAGACATAAGATCATGGATAAACTAACTACAATCAATCCTCAAAACCAATAACCAAGTCCCAACGGAGATGTACCATCAGATAGTATGCTAGAAAATACAATAGAGATCTCATAACAATCTCTACTAGCACCAAAACTCAAACCAATGAACTGCTTTGAATCTAGATAAGGAGGCTTCAGGATCTAATAGCAGAACAGGTACCAGTCACAATTACAGTAGCAGACATCCAACAGTGTGTCAATATCATGAAGAGCCGAACAGTATCTGGCCTGGACACCCAGACAACACATAGTCTGAACATGATCCACAACTAATGGTTAAAAAAACTAAAAGCAACGCATGAATGCCTAGCATCACAAATGAACCAGCTGCTAGCAACAGGCTGTTACCCACACTTGCTAATACCAGGAAGGACAGTGCTCATTAAACAAGATCCCCACAAGGGAACAGTAGCATTCAACTTCTGGTAATAACCTACTTCCCCAACACATGGGAAGTCCTATCAGCATACAAGAACATAAGGATTAGCACATGAACCCAACTCAGAAATGCAAAGGGAACAACACCAGAGGTTCAAAACACAAGATGCTCTTAAATAGAGCAGTCACCCAACACTCAAGGTCTAGGAACACCAATCTGAGCACAGATTGCATTGATTTCAGAAAACCCTACCAATTCTTAGAAGGACTAAAGGACAGCACTGATGCACTGATCATAACAGCACAAGAAAAGGCACAATATCCACAGAAGTCCTTCGGGAGAAGGGCGGTATAGAAATCTAATAAAAGTCAAAAGTCAAAAGAAGCAGAGGTCTACAAGTCTGGACAAGACCCAAGGTGCAGACTGTGCATGCAGAGACACTTCAGAGACAATCTAACATATAGTGGCAGGGAGTAAGATGCAGGCAGGTATAAGATTCACTAAACTGCACAAAGAAGTAGCTGGCTTTACATACAGGAACATGTGCACAGGACATATAACAAGTCCTATCTGAACAAGTCCAGATAGGAGAGTCCACAATAAGTCATGAGAATAAGAGGGCTAAGATCCTGTGAAGATTTGCTAAAATATTTCTCTCCATTTACCCTGAAAATTGGGGAATATGGTTCTATTTCATTTATTCTGATAAAGTTTTGTTCATTAACAGTTGAAAGATACCACTACAAAGAGTAAACTATATTTTTAGCTAGAGATAAACTTCACTCTGTCTTGGTTTGCAAGAACAAAGTGATAATTGATTTATGAGTAAGAACATATGGGTGATTAGTCTTACTTACTTCTTGGTGATATAGAAGAAATTTCTGTGCCCTTATAAAGAACTCAGATTAGTCTATTAACCTTTGTTTTCACTTTTTCAAGAAAGAAAACCTAGACATTGAATTATGCACATATCCCTAATGCTCGTCTATCCATTTAAGATTAGTACATACATCCATTATGAATTTAAAGCCCTTGCCATTATTAAAAATTATGTTGAGCATAATTTCTACTGACAAAATGGAAACGAGCATTATGAGCAAGTCACATTTAAGGCACATTTAAGACTAGATTATCTATTTATGTTATTTGAAAAATATGTTGCCAAGCTACATTAGGGCACATGTCAAAATGTCAAACAACATTATTAAGAAGATAATGACCCTTTGAATCAGAGCAATATCAGCATCCATCAAATTGTAACTGCACATGTTCATGCCTGAAACAAATAAAATTCAGTTCAAGATACAAATATAAACATGTTCAACAGTAGAGATCAAACATTAGACAAGGTGATAAACTACAGCTATACATAATTCAAACTACTGACCATTATGCAGTGATTGCTAGTAGAGGAAGACCATACAAAGCTATTTCCAAAGGTCTCTAGCACTTTCATAGGACTGGAATTAACACAGGTACTGAAATTTTATAAAAACGGTTTACAAAAGAGCACAAGGTATTTTATACTGTACGCTCAGTAAATGTATGCCCACAGTTCTCCCAAAGTAAAATGAAGCTTCCCTTAAATTATACATAAAGTCAAGGTTATGTATAATCTAAATTTAAACAACACATGGAAACATGGCAACCAAATCAATTTATATTTGGAATCCAATCCTAAACCTTCACAAAATAATAAAATCAAAAAAATCAAAATAAGATCAAAATATAATCTTGATCAGCACTCTGGTACAAGACAAAATTGCCCAGACAGTATTTTAAGAAACATAAAATACAAACAAACAAAGCAAAATAGATAATACAGTAGAAAGATGTGAATCAGCATCCTTTCAACTTTCAAAAACTTCTTGGTCAGATTTTGCTGCCTTTTCATTTTACAGTATCTCATAAATTACTCTCCTCCAGTGTAATTATTCTGATTCTTCTCCAAGATGATTGTTTCTTTTCTTTTCTTTTGGTTCTTATTTCAAAGCACTGAATACTTCTGTGGCAGATTTCATTCTATTTATTTCCTCCATTTAAAATAATACCTTCCTTACAATCTTGCTTGCTCTTCTGATTCAATCTCTTTTTTTTTGTCATAGTTTTAATGAAATCAGCCAGAATTGAGGTCATCCATATTGATTTGTGTCCACCACCACCCCAAAAAAACCTTTCACATTCTTCACATTAAATTTATGAACCATGAAATAACTATTTGTGTTTATGGTGAACACTTTAAGTAAGCTATTCTTAATACAAATTGTTTTGAAAACAATTACTTTGTAATGTTCTACATTCACCAATCTTTTTCTTTGATCCCAAGGTCAATTCTTGACTTCCTTCTGTATTTGTATCATGAAACTGATTCGTGTTTTATTGAAAATGCTGTATCTTCCTGCTCTTGGTTTAATTGTTATCATAAGATTTCACTTTGCAAAAATCAAGACAAATAAATTAACTAGTAGCAATAAACTGATGCTTTCAGCTTCAGGGACATGATACTTAAATACTACACACCCAGTCCAAGCTATTCTTTGCAGGAGATCTACTAATACAATGAACTGTAACATACCACTTGAAGATTAGGTAAAGCAGGACCAACAGGAAAGCTGGCAGCCATTCACAGACTCTTTCAATCATGATTCTTGGTGACTTTTTATGGGCAAGCTGAAAAAAAGGATAGAAAAAAACCAAGGATGTATTAGTTAATTATCACAGGAAATAAGAAAACAAAAAAGAACTGATGTTTTGTATATTGAAGAAAATGTTACATCCCATTGCATGGGAGGAAAAACTGATGTGTCAATTGTGTTAAGAAAAAAATGGATCTATACTGTAACACAATGCCCGATATTGTTTTGGCGAGTTATCATCAAATTCAGAGAAGCAATGCTGAACAGTTTAAGACAATATTATATTTATGTCTGTAATGAAATGCACTATTTCACTTAGAATTACTTCTCCTGGCCAGATGTTTGATCTATCTAGGGCACTTCACTGATGAATGACACTCTTTTTTCAGGCAGGCTTTTTTCAGCTGGAGATGCACAGGAGTTCCCAAACAGACTGCACGTAGCTCATCACTTTTCAAGGTAAATAATACACATAAGGCCATTATGTTCAGAGTCTAAAATTACCTAATTGTACCACTGACACTGTTCGCTTATTAATCAGCTCCATTTTCATATGTTTCACTGCTAGGACTCAGAGTTTTACTTTAATTGCTCCTCTGCCTATCCTCTCAACTTCACTATAACTATGTTTTTTTTTCTGATAAATAACTAATTGCTTTTGCTTGGTAGTTATAAGGAATACATTGTTAGCAAGTTACTTCTTTTAGTATTTTTAGAAGAAAACTAAAAATTAATTTTTTTCTCAGCAGTATGACCTTAGAATTTAAAAAATTAGAAACATTTTTCTTTTAATGCTTTAGACTCATCAATAACAGTTTATCTCATATCAGTTATTATATTTGTTATCTTCTATTTTTAACTTCACAGTGCGTGTTTGCGCATGTCTCTGTGTTTGAATCTTTGAATTAGTCTTGACTCCTAGCAACTATCTTGACAATTCTCTGCTGTTTTCTTGGCAACATTTTTGGAAATGTTTTGCTCCTGCTTTTGCTGAAAGTTGAAAGGGAATGACTGGACCAAAGTTAATCAGCTGGTTTACATACGTAGGGCAGGACTATAACTTACACTCTCCCAGATTCTAAACCAGTGCCCTTAACCACTAAGCCAAACTGGTTCTCAATTTTACCTAAGGCCTCAATTCATTTACATGCCCATCAATTTATTCTTTTTTAGAGGAAGTAATATTATGCAAATGAGTAAGGTATAGTAACACAAGGAAATTAGGAAATAAGAAACAGAAAAGGAAAGCTACCAACACTATTACCTATATATCCCCATACATTTTTAACCTTGCAAACCATCACTGTTTCTGACATGCCTATAGTCTGATTCATACATTGTGTAATATTATTTAAACTTCTCCCATTTTTCCAAGAATCTCATAAATTCCATGTAGCTTTGATTTGTTTGATCTTCCCTTTCTTTTTCTTCTTTTGATATTTCATTCACTTGTTCTATATTTATTTCTTCATTATATCTTAGTCTTAGTCCAAAACACCAGAATAGCAAAGGTGAGAATGTATCAGAACCAAATTATAGAACCAAGGCAAGGAAGATTTTGAAGACAATAATACTGCCCTGCTTCTATTTATTTAGCCAAAAGCTTAATGCCAAGGAATAGATAGTAAACTCCCTTGATACCAGAGAATATAAAGTATATTTCCTCTACCTGCCAAATATGAGAGGAAATTTACTATCTGTTACTTGGTATATGCTCTGTCTTTTCATTTGGAGGTTGACTTCATTTGGAGGACCATGGTGGCACAGTGGTTACAATGTATATTGAAGGCTAACTCAGCAAACTGCCAGCAGTTTGATCCTGACTGGCTCAACGTTGACCCAGCCTTCCATCCTTCCAGGGTCAGTAAAATGAGGACCCAGACTGTTGGGGGCAATATGCTGACCTTGCAAACTGCTTAGGGCTGTAAAGCACTATGAGGAGGTATATAAGTCTAAGTGCTATTGCTATTGCTACTTTCCTTTATCATCTATCACATCTTCTAGCTTTCCACCCAAGCCTCCAAATCAGGGGTGAAATGCTACCAATTTGCACCGGTTCAGGCAAATCGGTAGTGGTAAAAGCTACCGGTTTGGGCAAACTGACAGTAAAAAATCTCTACCAGTTCGGGCGAAGCAGTAATAAAAAAAAAGCTACCGGTTCATCCAAACCAGTATTTCCGACAATCAGCTGTGCCATGCAGTTTATATTCTAAACTGTATGGCACAGCTGTTTACTCCCTCGCTGTTCTACTTACCTTGTTAAGCCTTGTTAAGCCTTTTTTTTCTTCGCAATGAGCGCATTTGGTGTGCCCTGCGCATGCGTGCACACAGCATGTGTTTGGTACACGCTGAGCATGCGTTCTCAGCGTGCTTTTGGCGCATGCACAGGCAGCAAACCAGTGGCAATCCACAGAAGATTTCGCCACTGCTCCAAATCAATGGACATCAAGCATGCATCATATCCATATAAACTCTTTTCTCATCTAAGAATATTCTTATGCTTGTAAGTTTTTTCTTGTTATTTTTCTTAAGAAATCTCAAATAAAAATGACCTAAATGTTTCATTTGCTTATGTTTTGCCATATAAAGCTGCACCAATCTATTCAAAGGGGAGAAGTTCTACCTACTGCTATTCAAATGTGTTGTAAGCCTGAATAGATAGGATTGGTTAAGGGATTCACACCACATGGAAAAATATATGAGCTGGAAACACCCAAATATGAACTTTGGACACTAGGAATTCCAGTTGAATTTCATAAACTATTTTAAGTTGCATTGACAGTTTCTCATGTATATAGACAGAAAAACTGCTAAGCTATTGTTGGACAGATTTTTTCACATTTTTTTGCTCATTTCACCAGAGAGCAAATTCCAAGTTTTATCAAACAATATCATCTTGTTGGATTGGGGACTTCTGCTTTTTCAGTTGTAATGTTCTTGCTTTTTCCTCTCAAATTCTACGTTTTGATTTCTTGTTAAATGAATTTTGACATTAATATGACCTTTGCTGAGGTTTAGGTCAGTTTTCTACTGTTTTTATTGTATTTTTCTCTACCGTGCATGTATTCTACAAAAAGGCAGATTAGAAATGTGGTCAAATTAAGAATCTTTTTTGTTTTGAAACAAATTACAGTCATACTAGATGTAAAGCATTCCAGACTGAGTCATCATTATTCAAGGTGATGCTTTTGATGCCCTTCACAACTAAATGTTTTCCTAATGTTTTATTTATTTACTGGAACAAAAGCTTGATGTTCAGTTTCATTTCAAAGCTGCAAGCCTCATTCATGCTACGTGAAATAAAAGGTAAAGGTTCAATAGTACCTTCTTTGACCATTTAGTCTTGCACTATAGCCTAATATGTATTCAGTCACAATGACAAGCAGCTCTCCTGACAGTTACAAGCACTAAACTAAATGAAAGAATCTTCTAATGGACTTATCAGGGCTAGATCTCTTATCATGTTGTATTTTCCTCTTCATTACACTCATGATGCCATATGTTCAATAAGTGCATTTCCAGTACATTCAAAACAATTGATTAAAGACTAGTAGGCCAGGATTTGATGTAATAAAAATTAAAAGTATTGTCCAAATTGTTGAGAAAGCTATTTGAAACTGCTTTCTTCATTCATGCATTTTAATACAATATTTTAGTTATTTCTTTCAACTAATTCATCTCCAGAAATTCTTAATTATTTAATTAAGAAGAGATATACCAAAAAGGGAATGTAGAATTTTATAAGATACATATAAATATATTAATGATTTAATGATCTCCAGTAAGTGTATTATCTCAAGACAGCTGTGGTTGCACAATTCTAAAATGTAGACTCTAGAAGTCACTCTTTCACTGGTTAGACTGCTTTCTATAGAATTCACCAAAGAGTTTCAACACAAATGGTCTGCTGCAAAATAGTAGTATGTTCAAAAAGAAAAGGTATATAAACACACTCTCAGTAAGTTTTTACCACTATGTTTGAGAAGACTCCTCAAATGGACAAAAAAACCCATTGCTTTTTAGAATAAGCGTCTATTTTATGAGCTGGTTTCCAACATTGTGATTCTTGGACTATATTCCCTAATAATGTGATGGTTAAGAACTTCAGCAAATAGCATTTGAAAGGGCACAAGAAACTATCAGTTTGAGCTACAGAAAAATTGTACATGTATCTTCCTTTAGTTTTCATGAAGAAATGGCTCAAAATCAATACAGTGATATACAAGACTGATCTCTCCAATTGCCATACAAGTATTTGGTTACAATTATTGCAGCTAAAGATGAAGGTATCAGTTATTGTATGTAATCAGCACTTCACATACTGACATTGGTTAAGAAAGAAAAGAAACAAGCACTCATATTCCTTTATACAGCTACATAAGAGGAGCTACTGTACATAATATATTGTGGCAGTGATACACAAAAATTCAGAAAATCTAACAGAGATGAATATTTCTTTCCTCAGAACTGTAATCTTTAAAAATGAAATGTATTCTAATGACCCACTGTGAGACTGTAGCAAAGCATTTATGGACAAGGCTTTGTGAACATTTAGAATGACATTTTCTATGTTACAATAATTTCATCTTCCAGATTGCCTTGCCAGATAGAGCTACTGAAACATGAATATAGCTCTACCCTGTTGAAACAGATAATACTGTTCTTTGTTTCTAATTACAATAGCCCTTTGTAGTTTAATAAAGTAAAGATATAAAACACCAATGAGGATCAAACTTTCAAGGATAGCCTCCAGAACCCATCTCTTTCTTAAACATAATCAATATGCTGCTGGTTTAAGGACATAATATTAAGTCAATCGTACTTGGTTCAAGCTCCAAAATGTCAGGACATTCAAACGTAAAGCAGGTATTTTAACAGTTGTTCAATTCTTAAAAAAAAAAAATCACAAAAAAGACAAGAAGCTTTAAAGTAAACACAATTATTGGACACTTTTTTTGATCCTAGGAACACCATGCTCTCCATGCAAATATGGCCTTGGAGTCCCAAAAATGAAGGTGGGTATATGAAGGTAAG